GCTGGGGTCCACTTTTAGTTTTCTGCATGTGGCTGCCCAGTTTTCCCAGCACCAGTGGTTGAAGAGGCTGTGTTTCTTCCCTTGTATGTCTTTGGCTCCTTTGTCGAATATCAGCTGGCTGTAGGCCTGTGGATTTATTTCTGGATCTTCTATTCTGTTCCATTGGTCTTCGGGTCTGTTTTTGTGCCAATACCATCCTGACAGTTTTAAAACATTTTCTCACTTAAGAAAGAAACCTTTGGGCTGGAGACATGGCTCATACAGTTGAGTACCGGCCAGGAGCAAGAAAGCTGAGCGATAAGAACTTCAGGTTCTGAGTTTGAGTACTAGTACCACCAGAAAAAAAAAAAAAAAAGAGAAAACCATACTCAGTCCTCATGCTACATTTCTTCCCAGTTAAACTCCCTCATCTGTCTGCTGCCCTTAAAAATAGCTAATCTGCTTTCTGCTTGTGTAGATTTACCCATTCTGTACCTTCCTACACCTCTTCCTCCTTCTTCCTCTCTCTACCCCTTTCCTTTCTCTTCCTTGTGCTGGGGGTCAAACCCAAGCTCTTTAACAGACTAGGTAAACTAACATCCCAACTTATATATGAGTATCATATAATTGAAATCATATTCTATGCAGACTTTTATGACTTCTTTCATTAAACATATTTTCACAGATGTCAATACTTGATTTCTTTTTTATCTCCAAATAATATTCTATTGTCTGTCAAGTTCATTTTCTACTCATCTGTTCATCTGTTGCTAAATGTTTATTTTTTCTTGTTATTCTGAATATTATTGCTATAAATATGACCCAAGTTTTTTTTGTATGTTTGTTTGTTTGTTTTTGTTTTGTCAGTCGTGGGACTTGAACTCTGGGCTTGGGCGCTGTCCCTGCGCTCTTCAGCTCAAGGCAAGTTCTTTACCGCCACAGTACCATTTCTGGTTTTTCTAGGTTTATTGGAGATAAGAGTCTCATGGACTTTGCTGCCCGGGCTGGGTTTCAACCATGATCCTCAGATCTCAGCCACCTGAGTAGCTAGGATTACAGGCATGAGCCACTGGTGCCCAGCTTGACCCAGTTTTTGTAATAGATGTGTTTCCATTCTTATGGATTTCTACCTAGTAATAAGATTATTGACTTATATGGCAATGATAGCTTTTAAATCATTTAAAGAACCTTCCATGCATTTTTCACCATTTTATTTTCTGCAGGTAGCATATCAGTATACCAATGTCTCCTCATCCTTGTTACTACTTGCCATTGTTCATCATTTTATTATAGCCATACTGCTAGATGTGCTGTGTTCTCTCTTTGATTTTCATTTCCATAATGGCTAATGATGTTGAGCAACAAAGTTGTGTTTCTTACCAGTCCTTTGTTTATCTCCTTTGGAAAAATGTCCTGGTTCTTTTCCCATTTAAAAGACAATAATGGCTTATGCCTGAAATCCTATTCAGGAGGCTGAGATGTGAGGGTAGATGTTTGGAGCCAGCCTAGGCAGACAAAACGGAGAGAAACTCTTATCTCCAGTTAACAGCAACAAACTGGAAGTGGAAGTATGGCTCCAGTGGTAGAGTGCCAGCCTGGAGGAGAAAAGGCTAATAAGCAAGAGTACTGTGCTTCAGGCCCCGTCCTAGCACACATACACAAAAGTTTACCTGGAGAATTAAAGACTGGGTTTTACTGTGCTGCCCAGGCTGGCCTTGAATTCATGGGTTCAGGTGATCCCCTTTGTCTCAGCCTCCTCAGTGAGGAATTGGTACTACAGGAGCTCACCTCTGAGCTCAGCTCTTTGTCCTTGTTTTTAAATGGCATTTTTGTCTGTCTGAAATATTGAAGTGTAAGGATCTTTTAAAAAATGTGTTCCAAATAGGTTTCTTTTTATCAGACACATGATTTGCAAATTTTTCTCCCATTCTGTGGCTTGTCTTCTGTCTATTCACAATAGCTGTTAAAACCAAAAGTATGAGGTGTGGCTCAGGTGTGAGAGCACTGGCCAGTGAGTGAAAGTATCAGGTCCCAAGTTTGAGTTCAGGTCTCAGATCAGAAAAAGAAAGAGGCGGGGGGAGGGGGGGGAGAGAGAGAGAGAAAAATATATCAAAAGTAGTTTAGATGAGGTTCACTTAAAAAAACACCTTTTAATTTCTTTGTCATGTGTACAAATATTTGTAGAATATTTGGTTCAAACCTCAGTCATGAAGGGTTACTCTCATATTCTCTTCTTAGAGTTTTGTCATTTTAGTGCTTTTTTTTAACCTTGTCAGTTCATGTTAACTACTCAGTCTAGTAACTAGGATGGCAGATATACACCACCACATCAACTTTTAATTGGTTGAAATGAGGACTTCCTAACCTTTGGCCTTGGCTGGCTGCAATGGTAACCATCCAGTCTCTGCTTCCCAAGTAGCTGGGTGGGAGCCTCACATCTAGCTAGTGTAGTTTTTAATATGGCAAGTTTCAAGCTTATACAAAGGAAAGAAAGTTGATGAGTCCCTATAACACTGATAAGTTTTTTTTACCACAATGAATATAGGCCCAATCTTATTTCATATTTCCCTCTACCCCCACCCTGATGCTGTTCTCCCCAGATTATTTTAAAGCACATCTTAGACATAATCATTACTAATACCTTCAGTGTTTAGATTTGTTCCTACATTTAACCACAGTATTTGGTGCTCATTCATGTTTGCATGCCAGCCCATCTGGAAACATTTTTCCTTCTGTCTGAAATGTAACATTATTCTCAGTATTCTCTGAGTGAGGCAAGTCTTTTGTTTCTGTTTTTTGAGGTGCTGGGGTTTGAACTCAGGGCCTTGTGTTTGCTGTGTAGTACTCTTTCACTTGAGCCAGACCTCTACCACTCTAATGAAAGTCTTTTAGTGATGAATTTTTCTCCTGTTTTCATTTGTTTGAAATGTTTTTTTTTTTTTTTTTTGGGTCCGGTCGTGGGGCCTGAACTCTGGGCCTGGGCTCTGTCCCTCAGCTCTTCAGCTCAAGGCTA